TGAAGCATTCAATTGAAATATATGGGGGAAATGAGGAAAATGTTTCAGCATTCACTGTTTCAAAAGACGCCATAAAAAACAGAGTACAATGACGTGCAGTGTGTAATTAAATATAGTGGAAGCAACATTATATTTTAGACAAGCTACCACCTACTCAGACTGCACTCTGAAGTAATTCAAACATTTAAGACTAATCCATTTTTCCAAGCATAGTCAAATCACAGGCTGCAATGATTCAACAAATATTCAAATTGATTACATCTTAATAAAATGTGAATGGCTTTTCTAGGGTACAAATGATTTTATTTGCACATGAATGAAAGCCTGTTGAGACGTGTTTCAAATTTCTGAGTGACTAAAGAGCTCTGTGGAGTGAAAGTTGTAGTATATAAAAAAACTGAATGAAGGTGAGTTTGTCTTATCAATGGATGAAAGGAAGTCAGATCAGCCAATTTTTTTTTTTGCATGACTCAGCCTGGGTGTATTCCTATGAATGTTGAGACAAGAGTTTGTCACGGTTTAGTAAATATGCTCTTTCTAATACCAACATATTCCCATCATAGGATCATAAATGGGGACCACTGGTACTCCTAAAGAAGCCTTTGAATATGTTTGATTGTTTGTGATGTCAAACAAAGGTTTTAGAGAGTCCTGGTTTTGAATTTTCCAAGGTAGAGCTCAGCTAAAGTTAATAATGATTAATTTCAATGCAGTCCAGATGCAGGGCTTTTTTCTTATATTTTATTCTACAAACCAGCTTGATTGATTGATTGCTTTTTTATGTACACTTTGTGATACAATTTTGTTTTTTAAGGTTTGAAATTTTCTCCACAAATTTCCCACAAATGCTTTCATGTTCAGTGGGAATGTTGAGTCCTCGGTCTTCTCTTATGGCCCTTCTCAAGGATGTTGTCATGTTTGAGTATCAATTTGTCTTTGCATTTCTTCTACAAGCTCCCTCGTCGACTTCTGAATTCCTAGCTGGCTATGAGAGGAAGGGAGGTATGGAGAGAGGCCAATATTTGTTTTACTTTGCCTCTGTGTTTCCACCCTCTCCTTTCTAAACTGCACCCAGGGTTCCTTTTGTGTATCACCCAGCAACAGACACATCACTTTGTCTCTGTCCTTTCAGTGGAAGCGGAAACGTCGCGCCGAGGCTCTTCTAGAGAGGCCTAGCAGCATCCTACCTGACTGTCTTACCAATGAAGAGCCAGAAAACATTCTATGGGCCTGCAGTGTTACACTTAACTGGTCCTGACAACTAGCTCCTCCCTCCCTGCACCACCCAAAAAGAGCCAGTGTTTTGTAGAATCAAGAGCCAAATCTACAGTACAGAGCTCCAACTCTGTGTGCCACTCTGAAAGATCTGTTATTCACTTATTTACATCTGCATCTCTTGACAAACACTAATAAGTCTTCCACAAAATTCTCCCACGGCATTGTACTGAAAAGGTAGAGTACTTAAGACAGATCTCTGCTAAACTAAACTACCGTACCACATTTAATTTCAAACCTTTTTCTTTTTAGTATTTTTTTTATTTAGCAGACTGTGACAGGAGAAAAAAGTGAAGAAAAAAATATAGAATGTAACATAGAAGACTATAATATGTTTGGCCTGAAGTAGGCCAACAGTATTTACACATTGACACTTAATCTCTTCTGCTTTACCTGAGGGACAAAGCCTCATTATGGACCTAATGTTAGCCACAGAGGAGGTGCAGGCTGGGGCTCAGTACTGCCCCACGGACTATAGGTTGAGACATACATAATTGAGACAACATAATTATACAATTTGACTAACTTGTCTTTTGTCCATCCACACTTGCTTTCGGCATCTGAATCTGACTCCAGCCTCATAACTATTCACAACAAACACATCTAAACTTAGAAAATCATGATAACGTCATAATATAATAATAATACAAATGATATCAAAGATAAAATAGCAGCCACCTCCTCTGGTCTTATGCTCATTGTCAATTTCCACCTCAATGTTTCACTCAAATATGATTCAAAATTGTGTAGCTCTGTTTAGTGATAATGGTAATAAAGATTTATCCAAACGAAAAGTTAAGGTTGTGCATGGATTGTGTTCTTTTCAATACAACGTCCTCTAAAGCTGTCACTGTTTAGCAAGACAACACCTGTAGAAATAGAGCTTGATTGAGTTACATGTACATGATTGTCATCACACTTCACACCACAAAGACAAGTAAGTCATCAGTCACCTGATTATCATTCCATAATATTTAGAGTGAGGACTAATGAGCCTGGACTTGCACAATTCAACATTTACAGACTTTAATGTACTCTAATATCAGGTGTTTAAAAAGTCGCCACCTTCTCGTAATTTAAGCATTGTAACAGGAGGGTTACATTTTGAAGATGGAATTTTGCTTGTTACTTTTCAAAATGACAATGTTGATATGACAAATTGTATTGCCTACAGAACACGAGAATATAAACATTTTTTTTCTGACGATTAAACAGCTGAATTAACAAAGACATTTAATGACATTGATCCATGTTTGTCATTGTTGTTTAATACACATTTACATTGGAAATAAAGAATTAAATTGTCATAAACATTGTTTTAATTTTACAAAATTAGGTCAGTTGTACAACAATATAGAACAATACCTTTATTTAGAGATTGAATAAAGACAAAAAAAAAAAAAAAAACCCCTTTAAAAACCTAAAAAAAAAATAAAATAAAAAAACATTATGACTGTCATCTGCATCACCATTTTTTCTTTTTAAAATAATGGTAATTTTCTCCACTGCTCCAGAGCATTGGCTTTGTCCCCTGTGCCCGAGCATTGAAACTGACAGGAGGCCAGCTGTCTGCCTGTGTGTTTGCCTCTACACTACTCACTATTACTACCACCTCCTTCTGTAATTACAAGCTTCAGTGCACACAAGCTTACCATCAGGTGTGGCAAGGGCCACAAGCGCAGCACCAACAGCTCTCTTGTTGGTGTGGCATTTTCAGTTCTCCCAGTGTGAAAGCTCCAGGCTAATAGGAGACTTTTGCAACATCATAGGTGCCCCAGCCTGCAGGCCAATGGACCAGTCAGGATTAGAAATGCAAAATTTGGTTTCATATCATTAGAGGGTTAGCTCACCCCTCATTGGTTCACCATCTGGGCAGTCTGGTGTATTTTTTTTAGTCCTGTGTCAGCACTCATTGCCTGTAGATGCATAGACAGAAAAGAAAAAAAAGAAGAAAAAGAAAGATGGAGAAGAAATATTCAGACAGATGAAAACAGAGGCACAAACAAAGAAATAAAGCCGAGATACTGTCCAATATTTTATGAATGGCAAAATAGCATGCAAGAGAAGGGAGGTCTACCAACAGATGTAAATATTATGAAGTAATTATGTATTCATAACTCTTGACGAGTAGTGTTAATGGCACAACCCAAAGAAACTAGTTAGGAGCCTAAATCTACACACAAGCAAGGAAAAGGGCTAAATAGGATGCTAGATCAAATCAACTGCACACACTCAAGCCTCTAATTATCAATCTCAAAATTTTTTATTCCAACTATCATGTTTTTGTAACTATCTGAAGAAAAATCTAATCTTCAACTGGTCACATATTGCTACTTTGACAAGAGTCCTTTTGACGTCAGCTGTACCTGGAACTGTTGTATAACAGCAAAAACATAGAGGACTGTGAAATATGAACTCATGTATCCCCCCCGCAAATTAGATTGATGTCTTATCTGCATCAATAACGATTACAAAATACAACAACATCAGTAGGCAGTAACTGACTGACTTTGTCAAAGAAAAAAGTTTTATGGCGGGAACTCAAGATAGATTAAGTCTGGACGTGCCCAACTTGAGAAGGCAAAGGGTTCCATAAGATGGGGGCTTTAATAGGAAAGTCCCAAGTCTCCCTTTGCTACAGTGATCTGGGAGAATCGCTGGGCAATATCTGGAGATTTAAAAGGTCAATATGTCAGAGACATATTTGTGGTTGAGACTGTTTAAGCCTTTTAAATTGAGGAGAAAGGTTTTGAGATAAATACAAACCACTTCTGGAAGGAGAGACAGACTTTCCTAGTGATGAGTCCAGCTCTTTTTAGCGGTTTTAGCGGTTAAAATGGGTTGAAAAATAAGCATTTTCACCAGAAACAACCGACTTATATCAGTAGAGAACTACTTATTATCAATAATCAACAAAAACAACCGAAGGAAGTCCTTTGTGCTGAGGGTCACAGGAGTCAGCTAGGTGTCAGTGTGGGATGTGTGTGGAAGGAGAAGACTCTGAACTATTGCATAACATTTACACAACATCGAGCATCACCTTTCAGTACTCATACTTGAATATGAAAAAGTTTAAAATCAACATTAGAGCATGTATTGTCACAAACCTGATGAAAAAGAAAGGCTGGTGTCGAATCGTGTTTAAATGAACACTGGCATATCGAACTCATTATGATGACTGAAACTTTACATTTTGAAATCATGAGAGTAGCTAATCTCATACTGAGACCTGAATATTTTATATAAATGTGGGAGTTAAAGTCGGCATTAAGACTGCTCATTTGGGATGTTCCACATGGGTATTTCATTTTGGATGACAGTGGGCTAAGAAGATTATAGGCACTTTTTCAATTTATCTCACACACCCTTACTCGTTTCATTGGCTGGGACCCTGTTATCATATTTTGCCAGCAGCAGCCACTGGCTTCTTCCACAATAGCCACTATTTTGGAATTGCTGAAATTTAAGCTATATAATTTTCACCCAGACCATTTGTTACAGTTGTCATAAATGGACGACTTAGAATTTTCAAAAGACATCAAACACAAAAGTGTAATTCAAGTGTGTATTTCTGGTAACAATGGTTAATGGATTCTTGCTAACTTTTGAGACAATTTGAGACAACAAAATTGTTAAGTAAACAGTGGAAGTGTGCAATATGCATTAACTGGCTCTTGAGTGAGTCAGAAAGGAGGAGAGAGGGTGGGACGGAGAGGGTAAGGATATAAAACCTTGAGACAAGAGGATGCTCCTCTCTCAAACCCACTGCCATCTCAGTGGTGGAAATGGTGGAGTTGGGGTGGGTCAACTTTGAGGTGACATTGACGCTATGTAGATGAGAGTGAGGATCCTGTGCTCCATGTTACGTCCCAGCTCGCTTCAACTCAGACGGCGGCAGCTCTTTTCCCCATCTTCTCTCCCCTCCTCTCTTTCAGCACCTCTCCTTTAAGGACAGCACCTCGCACTCAAAGACGCATTTCTTCACCATCTTCCCCTCTTCAGGATCATATATCTGCTCACTGCCGTCGGAAGAAAACTTTTTCACCTTGGTTTTACCCACTGCAACAAAAGAACTCTTTGGATTGTCCATTGAAGGAAACTATAATTCCCAGAAGCTCGTTTTACTGTAAGTAGTCACACAATGCATTTTACATAAAGTAAGCAAGATTTGGGAAAATCTCAAAGCATGCCAGAAAATCTCCGATTGCGTGAAATCTTCGGCAGGGGCGTGTGAGGGGAATGATATTATTTTTCAGATGAGATCGACGTGGACTTACAAGACATTTTCAACCAACATTTCTATGTTACAGGCAGTTCTGTAATCAATGTGAAAAATGGCCTCAGAATTCTTGGTTTAGGATTTTTTGGTTTAGTTTTAGACTTTGGTTTCAGCTCAATGCAAAACGTGATGTAATGTCTAAAAATATTCGATATTACTATGTAACAGAGCTCTTCCATAAATGTTAAAACATTTATATTTCTATGTTACCTTGTGTCGATTTTCACAATTACGCGCCAACTAATGGAGAGCGAAGAGTGCGCGCTCAGTGTTTCTTCTCGTTATATTTCAGCAGATGTTTGTTTTAAATTTTCAGAAAAAATACAGAAAGGGCACACAGATAGATAAATAACGCCATAACATAACAACCCTCATGAAAATATTATTTAAAAGAATACAATATTCACGTGTTAGAAAAAAATTATAAATAAATCAATCATATCTGTTCATGACAAAAATATCTACGGAAAGTGCAAACTCCAGAGAGTTATTAGCCTCTCCAGGTGATTCATTAGACACCATCATTGCATCTGACTCCTAAATGTGTTTAATTGCCTTGCTCTTGTATCGGAGCAGTGGGAAGTGGGCCATTGAATTTAGAGCACAATGAATCAAGGACAAGAGCAGGCTCTAAATTTCTGCTAACATGGATTCACTTCAACCCATTGAAAGTGATTTTTACTGCAAGAGAAGTCTTTATTTGATCCCAGGGGGTTTGCGGACCTTGACAGATTTTTCCCCTCTCGTTTCACCCTTAAAGAAATGCCATACATAAAATATGTCTGGCCAATTTTATATAAATATATACATATGTATACAAAATTGTGTGTGTGTGTGTGTGTGTATCTCCAGACATTAAATTAGTATCAAACAGTTAAGGGAAACTAGACATTGAACCAAAGTTTGACAATTTAGCTGCATACATACTGTAGATCTGTGAGTGTGTACTTTCACTGTTTTGTTTTCTTCTGCTGAATTTCATTATTGATATATATCTCTCTTCAGGATCCCTGGACCGTCGTCAAGGTGCCTCTGCTACTGTTCCCATTCTTTCACAGAACGCGAATTATTTCTCCTCAATCAGCTATTCGCTGTGGACTTGAATTACGGGACGGATAAGCATTTGTCTATTTGGACCCGTGCCGAAACCCCCAACCTCCCAACACTGATCAGGACTATCCGAAACACACCTTGGCCATGGCTACTAACGGGACCAAAGCCTCGGACGGACACGTCTTGACGGAGACGGTGAATGACGCGCCCAGCACCACGCCAAATGATAAACCCAAAACATTGGTGGTTAAGGTGCAGAAGACGAAAAAAGACCTACCCGAGAGAGAAACATGGGGTGGAAAATTTGACTTTCTCCTCTCTTGTGTCGGATACGCGATCGGACTCGGGAATGTCTGGAGATTTCCTTACTTATGTGGAAAAAACGGCGGAGGTAATCAGGAATTAAACGCAATTTCTTTTCATCACACTTCAAAAGAAAAACAAAGGTCTTGACAACAAAAGCAGACAGTTTCCCGGATAATTTATTTGAAAGCCACCTAAAGTTCATTTTATATCATTGCCGTGCGTAAATGCGCACAGTTACGTATCTGTGTGGTGATCTTGGGCGCAGTCTGAAATCAAATCTTCCACCAAATAACTCACTGGATTAAAGCGAATAATAATGGTATGTGATTTACCTTGATTTACACACGTTTGCTTCTTACCTCTCATCCAGGGGCCTTCTTGATTCCCTACTTTTTGACGCTTATATTTGCTGGCATGCCCCTGTTCTTTCTTGAGACGGCTCTCGGTCAATACACTTCTATTGGGGGTCTTGGAGTGTGGAAGCTGGCCCCGATGTTCAAAGGTAAAACATCCTTTTAAAGTTATAGTGCAGCCTTTATTTATTCATTTATTTATTTTTATTAAACAAAACCTTGCTGTTTCTCAAAGACAGATGTAATAGATTATAAGGGTCTTATGATCATGGTGGAGAAAAACACACTATAATCCTATATAAAGTACTATTCTTGTTTGATTTCAGCTCAGGATTGACATCATGCTTGTATTATTTCAGGTGTGGGTCTGGCTGCTGCTGTTCTGTCATTTTGGCTCAATATCTATTATATTGTAATCATTTCCTGGGCCATTTACTATCTGTACAACTCCTTCACCACTGTGAGTATTTCATTTTTAAAATCCATGACCATTCCCAACCACACCAAAGGGGTGACAGAGATAAACATATAATACGACTTGACCTTTAAAAAAAATTGGATATTCCCCACTGATTTTCTAATGGAAAGCTCAGTTGTTGTTTTTTAATGTATCTTTACTTGGTAATTTACTTGAGTCATGTGCCAGCTGTTAACCAGAATCTCTTATATAAGGCTACAAAACCCTTAACATAGTATGACTTTTATTACTTCCTTTCCCACATAATTAGCACTGCACACAAGGTATTGATAAATGCATTCTACGATGAAGCATTCACTGCTCTGAGAAGAGCATGAAATCTCAATGTCCCGAATGAGCATCATGGTCTTGGCTGCGTGACAGCCATAGAGAATGGGACCCTGCAGTGGGAGAATAGTCCAAGTAAAAAGAGCTGTCTTTTTTTCCTTCTGTCTCTGTGTCTTTTTTGTTTTTTTTCTTTCATCCTCAGGATCTGCCATGGCAGACTTGTGGCAATGCTTGGAACACAGAACGCTGCTACACCAACTACAGCATCGCGGACAACCGAAACCTCACCAGTGCTGTAGTGGAGTTCTGGGAGTAAGCCCGACATCTAAGTCTGTTATTATCACAAGAATACTGCTATGTTGTGAACAAATTTAGGCTGAGAAGGTCACTTCCCCTTATGTGCAAGAGGAAGGGATCAAGAAAGGGGTCACAGTCTGATATAACTATTTGCACGTCATGATCCAAGTCCGTTAACGTCTACCCAAAGACACTACAAGGATAGAAAAAAACATCCAACAAATAGCCTGAAACAAACCTTAGAAGATGTTGTTTTGACGCTTAAAAAGAAAGCTTTTAGCCATGTATATAAGCATGACTTCCCTCAACTTTAGTGCTTTTGAAAAGCTTTGGGGGGTGAAAAAGAAAGCCACTGAGAATCACTTTGGGAATTATCAGGCATGTGTGTGCATATTTTTGCATAAAGTCATGCGTCCATGTATGAAATCAAACGTACCCTTGTGCAATGTATTAAGACCACTTTACTCCTTCCCTGCAGACGTAATATGCACCAGCTGACTGATGGTCTGGAGAAGCCCGGGGAGGTCAGGATCCCACTGGCTATCACACTCGCAATCGCATGGGTACTCGTCTATTTCTGCATCTGGAAGGGGGTCAGCTGGACTGGCAAAGTGAGTAGATTAAGAGTTCAGACATGAACACAGCACATTGCAAAACTAAATCTTTCAAATATAACTTTAGATGAACTGTTATAGGTTATGGCACTGGCGTGATGATGTGTTGAATTAAAGCTGAAATATCACCTTTTTATCCAGAGTTGACCTGTTTAGCCACCTTTAAGTTTAGGACCAGTCAAAAGTTATGACCAAGAAACAATAATTGCATAGTTTTGGAGGTTTACTCATATGTTGTCGTTAGTGAAGAAAGTTCTGTTAAGCCACATGGCAAAATTATAGAATGCGGTAAAAAAGAATTCAGGGTAATTCAGGATTTCAAGGTAATATACCCGAATGAAAAAAACTGTTTAAAAATTTAACTTTAAGACAAAGTCAGAGTTTCTTCCATTAGTTAATTTCTTACTCTGTAGATTTTTAACTTGAATGAAAACAGTGTTGATATTGATGGTACAAGTGTAAAACTAGTTAAGATAAGGACACCAATAGGTAGTGTGCTGAACCCACTTGTTCCTGGATCATTTAGTCTCTCAGGGGATGGCTGACTAGGGAACTATGCTATGAGGATGGTGTCACAGTAAGACAGTAAGGAAGAAGATGCACTGTTCTGAATAGTTTTATTGCCTTACAGGCCATATCTAACATGAACATTTTCTAACATGATATTTATCTAATGACAGGTGGTGTACTTCTCAGCTACATACCCTTACTTCATGCTGTTCATCCTATTTTGCCGCGGCATCAGTCTACCTGGTGCCTTTGATGGAATTCTCTTCTATATCACACCAGACTTTGAAAAACTTAAGCAGTCGGAGGTAAACTTTCTCCTGTGTGTTGCTCAGAAACGCATACAGTAACTTCTCATCCATTGCTAAACAATTGCTTACAGATGAAAGAAAAAGAGGTTTTGGCAAATTATTGCAAGTTGTTGACAATGTTGCTACTGGAGAGGTTTCTTACACCACTGACATCGAAACATATTCTAAGAATGTAAATACTCTTTTTCTCTGTTCCTCACAATGAAAAACAGAGCTTTACAAGAGGCAAGACACATTCATGTACAAGCTTCCATCAGCCCTAACAGATGTGGCTTAAATTGAAAAAAGCATCACAGCAATAAATTAATATTGTCCTTGTTAAATCAAATATCTCAGTTTCACCTCAATAATATCCAAATTGCATATGTCTACTTCATAACTCAGACTTGTTCTCTTATTTCTGTGGGGCAGGTGTGGCTTGATGCTGCCACACAGATCTTCTTTTCCTATGGACTGGGATTAGGCTCTTTAATAGCTCTCGGTAGCTACAATACCTTCCATAACAATGTGTACAGGTAAGTGATTAAGTTATATTTCATTTTGAGCTTCCTTGTCATAGTTATTAGATACTCCTACAGATTTGACCACCTCTAGTAACCCACAGATATTTTTAAAATGACTGTTCTGGTGTCTCCTTGGGATATTTTTGTTTTCCTTAAAGATTATGTTTCTTCCGTACCTTCCGTTTTGGCACTATTTGACTTCTCTTTGCGTTTTATGTTGTGCTCCTCCTTTATTATAAAAACGCATGTGCCACGTATGTACATTACTTGCTTTGTTTGCTGTCACCTTGAAGATTGAACACAGGTCGGGAGCACAATTATGTTTCTGTGCTTCCGACTGTTGCCAAATTGCTAGAACTCGCTGCCATTTTAACATCACAGTTCGCTAGAAATGTATTCTGCAGCGATGCCACCGCAGGATGCAAAATGGCCTTCCCCTCCCCCCGTGCCTCTCGACAATGTGTGACGGGTTGATAAGGAATTGATACAGGCGTGACAATGACTGCCTTGTGCTTTGTGTCTCCCCTACAGAGATTCTATCATTGTCTGCTGCATCAACTCCTTCACCAGTATGTTTGCAGGCTTTGTCATCTTCTCCATTGTGGGATTCATGGCCAATGTAACAAAGAGACCCATTGCTGATGTGGCAGCCTCAGGTAATTGCAATCAATGTTGAAACTCAACAGCAGCATCAAGCACAAGCATGAGATATTATGGTTTTGACCATTTGAAAGAAAACAGCAAATTCTTTCATTTCAAAGATGGTTTGCTAAAAAAGTATTCGCTTTGGATAAATTGACCAGCATTTTTTAAATGTTTAGACTCTTAATGAATAAGCACATGCCCTTTGTTGTATCATCTTACTGTGTAGAAGAAATACATATAATTTGTCTAATTTTAGGACCTGGTCTGGCATTTTTGGCGTATCCTGAGGCCGTCACTCAGCTGCCCATCTCTCCCCTCTGGGCGATACTCTTTTTCTCCATGCTGCTGATGCTGGGAATTGACAGCCAGGTGAAGAAAATCTCATTTCCACGCTCTGCTTTTTGGACCATAGCAATGAAATAAATGACTTGTCTAATGTGCGAATAACAACAATATCACAACTGAGCTAAGAAAATTTGGTTCAGACTGAAACATTGATAAGATGTAATTGCATTACTTTGACTGTAAGAAATTATGCATTATTAATCTTGACTCCTTAACTAAATGTTTGCAATGCTTTGTCATAACAGAAATGTATTAAATAACACAGTTTTGAAATGGCTTTACAATCTATGCAGTTTTGCACTGTGGAAGGCTTCATCACTGCACTGGTTGATGAATTTCCTTTGGTCCTCCGAAAGCGTCGAGAGATCTTCATTGCTGTTGTCTGCTTTGTTTCTTATCTGATCGGCCTGTCCAATATTACACAGGTAAATGTGACAATGCACAAGTTACTTGAATTAATACTTACTGCTCATTTCTGGAGCAATAACAACTGTGACTGAGCTGAATGGCAAAGCTTACTTTGTGTTTTGGTGCAGTGTGATGATGTTGGCTTGGTTTACAGTAAAGGTTCACATGGAACTTTGCTTGATGTTTTGCAAGAAGTCAGCTTGTCAATTGTTCCTCATGTAAAGTCAAGATGGCCTTTGCATAAAACAGGTTGTTGGCTCACACTCCCTAGTCTGTAGCTCTTAGCCATAGCGGTGCTGCAGAATTTAAGATGGCAAAAGCTATCTTATTTCCCTGACTGGTAACACAGAAATTCATAAGACATAGACTATGGACTCCAAAGAAAATCAAGTGTTGATTATGATGGTCCCCAGCCTCATGACTTCCTCCAACCTCACCACTCCCCCAGCATCTTTGAATGGACACAACTGAGCACATCAATTGAGTAACTAAGAGTTTGCCAATCGTGGTGCTCGAGGCACACTGTCCTGCTCAAGCACACCTAAAATAAAAATAAACGAGAAAGCTTTTCTAATGTTTAAGCTCTGCAGTGTGCTTTTGGGAAGCACTGGAGTAGAGAATCAAACGCTGGGATTTATTTTAATCTAGAATTACCTAGGAAACCATTTGACCAACTGTCTTGTTCCACCAGTTATGGATATAAATGTTGGCTTTACCATATAAAATAATATTTGTTGTCTCCAATAAGCTATCCTTGGATTAACAGTGGCCATTCATTTTTTCTGTAAACACTGAAATCATAGAACATTAAGAGCTCTGGCCAGTGAAAATCTAAAGTAACAGCGTTTTACATAATCAGTTAACTTATAACATTAACAAAAAACACATTTTTAATGGTGTACCTCCCCGTTTTAATACAAGATATAATCCAACGTATCTGAAAAGATTTTTAACAGTTTAAATAGCTGTTTTTTTCTTTTCACTGTAAAATAACTCTTTATTTTATAATCAATTCTACTGTTTGCACATGCATACTTTTCTTCTTTACCAGCCACTTCATGCTCTCTTTTCTCTATTTGATTCTCAGGGTGGACTATATGTGTTTAAGCTATTTGACTACTACTCTGCCAGTGGGATGTCCCTGCTCTTCCTAGTCTTCTTTGAGTGTATATCAATTTCATGGTTCTATGGTAAGTAATAGTTATATTTGAGCAATGAAGCTGTAATTTTCTTTAATCTGAAAGCAGATATTTCTGAGTCTTAAAAATGCATCTGCCTTCTGTGATTTATACACCCATTGGTTTGGGAATGACAAAAAGACATTCATACTTATGTTTTTGTTGCAGGTGTGAACAAATTCTATGATAATATCGAGGAAATGGTTGGCTACAGGCCCTGTCTGTGGTGGAAGGCCTGCTGGGTCGTTTTCACTCCTCTCATTGTGGCTGTAAGTGTTCTCTGTGGCTGGCATTCACTGGACACTGAAAGGAAAAGTATTTTGTCATCAAGGTCAACATTTTGGAGAATGCTTAAGTGAAGGGGACTATTTCCTATTTATGCAATAACTTATTAGGCTAACCCCTCACTGTAGTTTGATGGTTCACAATAATTCCTTTATTGTACCACTGCATTGAATGTTTGGGTACAAGGTGCTAAAAACCCATTTCTTGTCCCCTTCCTTTTCAGGGCGTCTTCTTGTTCAGCGCAGTGCAGATGGTTCCCCTCACCATGGGCGATTATGTGTTCCCAGGCTGGGGTCAGGGGGTTGGCTGGTGCATGGCCCTGTCCTCAATGATTCTCATCCCAGGCTACATGGGATATATGTTCCTCACACTCAAAGGCACATACAAAGAGGTAGGAATCTGTTACCACTATGCAAAATTCTTAATGATGTTTAATTTAAACAGTGCAGGTATTGTTGACAGGTTCTGTAGATGACAATTTCCGAGAACATTCACATAACTGTGTCCCTCTCTGAAGTATAAAAAGAAAAAAACTTTCTTTGCTGTCACCACCAATTTAGGCTGGGCTGAGGATTACTTTGATATGCTTGTTTTTTTGTACCACCTCTTCTGTGTTACTGTGGGGGATGAGGGTAACTCACAAGTGCTGAAGATCTTAGGTAAAATAACAGTTTGAACTTTATACGAGAGCTTAAACGAAGCTTTCACCAGAAAGGCAGACATACAGTTCGTAACCCTAAAATGGCAGGGTATATTATTGACTCACATTTAGGCCACTTTTTTAAGGAAATTAGCAATTCATTTTAGTAAAAGCCAAAACACAAAAAGCATAGTAAGGCATAGTAAGGCATAATAAATTTAAATGAAGAGAAGGAGAGTGATAAAAGGATTAGCATACAAGAATTTTCAATATGTTCCATGAAATATTTTTTGATGACTTTCTGCTACAATTGAGGTCTCAGCGAATTACATGCATTCATGTGCAGTGTGATGATATTTTTATTGACCGAAGAAACAATAGACGATGAAGCCATTTTTTTTTCCCTTAACATTTACATTAACAGCTTTTTGATTTGCAATCGTCTGCAGTGTGCTGAATAATGAGCTTACATCTATAACGCCCCTGGTGACAGATATAGCCTCATAGCCACAGCTGACAGAATAAATGGACCATAATTGCAGGCAGTGCAACAGAGGCTATCAGAGACGAAATGCAGGTGTCAAATCCAGCAGTACCAGCTGATGACTGATTGTCTAATTGTAGCAATCAGCCAGCTGATTAGTGCTCTGCATCCAGGCAGACTCTTGGTTTCAGAAATACTCCATAGAAATGGCTATTGAAGTGCCTGACACAATTCAGTTAAGAACACTTCAAACTTGAAGTTTTAGAAGTTTGCATTTACTTTTGTAGACTAGTTTCAGCACGTGGAAATTTCTCAACTGTCCCCCTCCCAAAGATGACATCGCAGATCATTTTTTTACCCGCACTATTGTGACCTAAAATTATGCTAAAAGAATATGGTTCACAAAAGATCTGCAATGTTGGAAGTTTTGATTTAAAACCCTGTGAAAGTTAAGTTAAATTGTACAACTATCCAGAAAGTGACAATTGTTTAAGTATTGTTAGAATCTAATATATCCATCCATCCATCCATCCATTATCATAACCGTTTATTCCCTAATGGGGTCCCGAGGGGAACTGGAGCCTATCCCAGTGGTCAATGGACGAGAGGCGGGGTACACCCTGGATGGTCCGCCATTCCATCACAGGGCCAAAATCTAATATGATATAATATAATATAAAACAGAAGTTGTCGTACCAGCGTACCACAACATCTAGATACAACAAAGTGAAATGATTCTGCACCATCCCATCTTTTATATGTAACAGTATATATTTTTTCAACAGCACTGTTGAGTTTTCTGTCTGACATCTTTTATATTGATGATTTTCTCAGCGTCTGCGGATAATGATCAAGCCTTTGACTCTAGTGAAGGCTCAGGAGAATGGTCCGGACCAGCAAATGGAAAACCAGAATCAAAACCAGGCCAATGAGGAAGCTTACATCTAAAAGGCTTTGCCTGTCTTTCTAATTCAACGGCCAGACCGACTCTCCATCGTAATCAAGGTTGGGAACAACCACTAGACTTTCATGTCTGCTTTTATTCACCTACCTCCTGGGGACACGTGAAACCAACCTGATTACAGTTATTTTTAGGGGTTTTCTGTTTGCTTATTTGTACAATACAGAGTTATAAAACCTATGAGGAAAAACAAACTACCCAGCAAAGTTGTTGTGATATTATGAATTTCATTATGCAAAACAATTAGTCTTTTTAGAGGAGAAAATGTTACTTAGAAAATTACTGTACATTGAATATATATAATTTAAATCTGGAGGCCCTCATTGATTCAATAGTATTGTGCTTTTGCGATATTAATTAATCTACTAAACTGAAATTATTGTACAAAGAAAAATATCAGTCAAATGTATTTTGTTTGTACATTAAATACGAATATTAAAATGAAAGCATAGTTGTAGGTGAAAAAAAAGTTGAAAGTTTGTAAAGTGAAAATGGAAAAACTACCAACTTAAAGCAAAGACAATATGGGAATGTGCAACAGGTAAGGCCAAATCTGCTCATATGTGTAAACCATAATTTAGAGCGACTATCACTTCTTTGCAGAAACCTGCACTCCACCTGAAATGTTTACCACCCAAGTCTGGGGCTACATTAGAAAAGCACAAGTACAGCTTGGAATTTGGAAGAGTCCAACTTCTTTACGGCATGACTGAAACCTGTGACAACAGCAAAAATAATTTATATAGTATAGCAAGAGACTGTTATAACTGTTTCTTTGTTTTCTAAAGAACAATAACTTTATATGTTGTCTGAATCTTTTTTGTAGTCATTTCTAGGCCATTTTCTATATGTAAGAGTGAGGAGGACCAAAATGAAGCTGTAGTTTGAACAGCTGGTGGAGACATCTGACCTGCTGTCTATATATGGTTTAAGTCAAGCACCCCTTTCGAAGCAGTACAGCGGTAGGGTTGAGAATCCACCTACAAGCACAAACTGAATCTGTGAACCACCACCTCTAATGGATAAAAAGGTATAGCCATTAAAGAATCCCACATTTGCACTGTTCACTCTAAAATTCAGATTTAAGAGTAGTTAGATTTTTATGTAACAGGTAACCAATGAAGTGGAAAGAAGGCGTTGTGTTGCAATCGACCCAATGCTCATGAATATTTGTTTTGTTTTTTAAAATCAGGACAGTGAATAAGCTGCCATGGCTGCTGTGCTGCGTTGAAAGTAATGAGGCGAATTTCTATGATAGCTACAACTATTCTGACTGGATTTGTTTACTTATATATCTACTTAGTAATGCACTCCTCAGGAACAAAGGTGGACGTGACCAAATTGTCTCAGATACTACCCTACTACAATGATTCAATAAATGAAGAATTTGAACACTGAAACTAGAAGATTATACCATTTTTGTTGCCCATGAATCGAACAGGAAGACAGACTTTAAAGAAAGTTTAAAGACTGTATTGCACGCACATTAGAACATTCGAAGACTGATCCAAATGTTGCTCTTTTCTTTGTGATGTCTGGTCTGCTGGTATATATTATTTGTTTTGGTCCTCATAAGTAGAAGCTATACTGTTTTCCTACTTTGTGGCTAGAATAGATTACCAGTAGATGTGTCGGGATGAAAAAGTTTGGTTCAGTCCAAGAACAAAGGCAGCAAAGCACTGTTGGCATGACGGTATGGATACACCTTAACACAACATGAACCACAACTTTAAAAGTGAAAATGAAAAGCTAAAATGAATATTAAGTTAGCACCATAAACATAAACAAGTCGATGCTGATGTTGTGAAAGACCACAGATATCACAAGAAACGAGGATCCAGAGAATTTGCTTCTGTGGCAGCTACATGCGACCGGAATCAGGTTTAATCAGTCCCGCTGAGTGTTTTAATTAGTTTTTTTTTTTTTTAAGATCTGTGAATTCACATGTGCAATGACTAAAAGGGTTCCATGATTTTGTACAAAGTTACCATACTACAGTTTCTCTCTGGAATGATGTTGTAAACTGGACTGTGTAATTCATGTATCTGTGAATGTCTGTACAACCTGAGTTTTCTTTTCATTTGTCTTAATGTTGAACAAAAAATGTGATATTATTTGCTGTTTTCTGCAATAATACTATCTCAGAAACTAAAGGCACATATCTCAACTGTAAAATTTATAATAAAAATAACAGATTAGAGTAATAATAAAGATTATATAATAATGATAATGTAATAGAAATGTCTAGTCAGAGAATATTGTTTTGTATATTTCTAGCTGTTTCATGGGCCTAATGTAAAATATATTCTATGTTAAAATATAATAAATGTCTCTAGATGGTGTTATATGAAAAAGCATGATTGCCATATATGTTATCTGCAAAAAATAAATAAAGATCTATAGATTATACTTCCAGAATCTTGTCATTTTTTACCCAAATTTAGACCATGGAGATCATTATTTCTACTACTTTTTCAATTTTCAGCCCTTCCTTTATTAATTGTATTTTCATTAAATAACACTGTACTCTGGATAAGTTGTTAAAACTTCATGATTTGAGTTATAAAATCCTGAAAACCAATTAGCCCTACATGTTTAAAAAAAGAATGGATAACCAATCACAATTCTGATACTCATGCTTTAGAATTCCGTGCACTGCTACACAACAAGAACTGAAAAAATGTACGTCTTATTTATGGACAGATGAAATAGAGTGATTTCAAGTACCAGTTTAAAAGGGGGGAAAAAAGCTTGTGAAATATCCTTTCTCTATCAGTGGTTGAGATGGTAATGCATGATACTGACCTGTGCGGTGCTATTTTGGCCCAATTTTAAGTGCAGATGAATTTTCAATCAGCTCCATCACCAGAAAAGATGCTGGAGGTAAACTTATATCATACACTCTGACAAAACTATTTTCTGCTATTATGACACCTGCGACTGAATTCTGTGCCAGCAGAGATCAGCGCTGTCCTGGATGGCAGCCAACACCTCCCAGTTACAATAAACTATCCATCAGGCTGCAGCTGTGCAGCAGTTAACCTACATTTGCCGTAATCTAAAAAGCTACCAAAATCATTGGAAAAGGCAGACACAAAGAAGAATCAGGTTTCTTTACATATCATTCATTTTTTTCAAATGGAATGATGAAATTGTCATCTTAAAATCTCCACATCGAATCTCTTAATATGATTGATGGATTTTTTACAAGAGAAATTTGTCATCATGTTCATTATTCATTGTACAGAATATATTTTCGTTGCCCTGCTGTTTTTTTTCTCTTTTTTCCCCCCAAATGAACCCAAACATGCATGTTTTTGGATGGTGGGAGGAGGCCGAGAGGAAAACAGCTTCCCTGCCGGCAGTGGTTTGAAAAGGAAAGAATATGTTTTTGCAATCACAGTTTCATTGCACTGAAACTAACTCAACATATTGGGCATCGCAAAAATAACATTTTGGCCTATCTCATTATTATTGGTCACAGTTCCCATGTTAAGTCTGGTAAACAGTAGATTTTTTCTGGTATGATGCACAGATGCTCAGGATTGCTGGAAAATCTTTTAATGCTGATGGTTGGTTTGCATCCAACTTTAACAAAAGTTACCCTTTCTTCTCTTCCTGATTTCCTGTTAAAAGTCAAACAGTGTTGTAAACATAGCCATCGAAAATTATTCATGTAATTTGAATAATGCAGTTCGATGTTAAAGTAAAAGTTTATGGAGGGAACAGACTGATCTTTTTTTTTTTTTTAATGCTATGGATTAATCGAATGTCACGCTTCAAAGTGATGTACAGTGTGTTCTTTCTGAAGCTGAAAGATAGTTTCAGATAGCCACACGACAGAAGGCACATCTTTGGAGTACAACCAGATTTCATCCAAATACAGAAGAATATCCATCAAAAACTTGCATCAAAATATTAGTCATCTGTTCACCTTTTTAACAAAGCACAGATAGTATATCTACTGCCAGCAGAGTGACAGACAACCATTGAGAAAAGCAAATGCCCTTATCTCTGCCTTCCATATGATGGGATTAGCCAGTGTGTTGTCTGACAAAGCATTAATGAACAGTTTTAATTGCCGACATGGCATCCCTGCCAAGTTCCTGAACTATACACATTTACACTCTCACAAACACACAAGCCTGCACAGATTTTCCTACTGGGGGACTCTCTCATCTTTCATTTAACATGGACACCTACCCCAAGCTTTTACTCTTTACTGTTTAGGTCAACACATTTTGACATCATTGGTCAAAGCAGCCAAACATAACAGATTTATCTTCACTGGATAAAACTAGTTGTACCATTTTATACAGAAAAGGTTGGAAAACGTTTCTGTTGCAAGTAGTAAATTGTTTATCCACAGAGATCCAATGATTTTTTATGTTTTTTATCATTCCATCAATTAGTCACATCCTAGATACAGGCATGTCCTCGCCCCTCAAATAAGCACACCAAAGGCAAAAAGATGGTCTATCATTCTTATGCACTTTTATGCACATCACCTGGCACAGGAGGTCTATGAAGTCACCTATGCTTGTTTTAATGAATATTTGTTTGTCAGCCCGTTTCTATGTTTCACTGATGGACAGAGAAACCTGATACAGAGGCAGAGAAACCTGACACGGAATGATTGCGATTCTGGAGCTCATCTCTTTTTGAATACCACTTTCATCACAAAATGGACCTTGTGAATGCTAGTTAAGGTGTATACATATAAATATATATATAAATGTATATACATATGTGTGTCTGTGTGTTTTTATATATACACGTGTTTATAATGCAATGGTTCATGAACCTTTTAGCTGCTAACGAATAGCCTAACACCTATTTTCAGGGCAGCTTAGATCTGTTCATTCTGGCCAAAAATGAAAAACCAGAACAGTCTGTACTGCCATGCTTGTAATTCAGTATCTACACAGGGCAGCAGTTTTTACTGAATGTGGGTTAAAAGTCATGTGGCTACAATAAAAATAGCAATACTCAAGTTCCATGTTTCTGATGCAACCTGAGCCATCTGATTTTATTTTCCCAATTTACAGCCTAAAATTGCTTGGAACGTCATGAAAATAATACCCCAAATATCTTCTACAATGACGTGATTAAACAAAGCTGTGTCCAGCAGTGACCAAGGATAGTCTCCAACCTCTTTCCTTCCTGAAGTATTTCATAAAACTGCTTTTGCAGTGAAGAAGAAATTTTATGTCATGCCTGCCTGCCTTCGACTGTCAAATCCTCCAGCACACACAAACACACATACACATACAGACAAAGGTTATTTACAGTATAATTACTTCCATGGCAGTTCAGATGCAAACCCATCACCAAGAATTACCAGACCACTGAGGCGTGTAACAGTCTGTAACATAGCTAAAAATGTCTCTGAATTCTTCTACAGAGCCATCCACAATCAATAACCCAGCACGTAAAACGTTTTCTCATCTTTTTGCTTTTTCTCTTATCACTTATTTGGGAATCCAAATTCCCAAACAAACTATTTGAAGCCACAGTAACCCACCAGAATGTTTTATTTAAACTTATCACAGTTTATATTCAGAGCAGTATGGGGAATTTTACAGAGAAATTGTGGCATGGGATATTTAGCTGTGTTTCTAAAGGTTGTAGCTACTATAAAAACCCTGTGTAGATGACTGAGTGATCTCAAAGACCACTGAGCCATAGACAAGCTCACAGAGCACTGTCATCTTGCTGCTCTCTGTTGCTCGTAACTTGAACCACCCGAGCAGAACATGCACTTGTCTTTATGCGAATTTATGTGAATGGCATGCTGAGAAAACTGGATGTAATTAGATGGATGTTTCTGAGACTGTAGGATACTAACATGGATTTCATTACTCAACATGGTGTCAAATATCAGCCACTCTTCTCCTGCAGATGCTTTATGTTTGCACACAGGTGTTTTTTAATGGCCCTGTCATCACAAGGAAACTAAGTAAAGCTCCATAATAATTTGCTATGGATACAATGTAGTTTATGTTTTGAAGTCAAGAAATGGGAAAGTGAATCTCTTAAGTCTTCATCAGATTTTTTTTTTTTTTCCAATTGGCCACTTTCATATGAGACACTTTTGTGAATGCACACATTGTTTGCTTGTCATGTAATGTGAAATGTCTTGACAGATGCATGGCTTTTCCCAGCTGCTGCTAAGAAGAGAACACATGGGGGGGTCCTCTAAGATCCATCAAAGGCCCACACAGAGACAAACAAAAAAAAAAAAAAAAAAACACACACTTACACTCACCCCTGGGGCCAATTTAGAGCCACTAATGAAGGTTTTATGTTTTTGTACTCAGGAAGGAAGCCGGAGTACCCACAGAGAACCTATGCTTGCACAGACAGAGCATGCAAACTTTACACTGAGAGGTATCATTCCATATTGAATTATAACTATCAACTTTAACTATCAATATCACCTTATAAGATCCCCCAAAAGACATGTTGTACTTTAATTCAGATTTTCGGCATAATATTTACCAAATCTTGGCATGGATTGAGGTGGCATCAGTGTGTCATAATGGATTTGGACAGCAGTCTGACAGATGATCGTACTGATTGACAGAGCCAATACCATGCAATCATTTGACAACATAACCTGGATAAAAATCCTAATGTGTCTAAAAATGTAAGAAAACACAGACACCAGAAAACAGGAAAATTGTCAGAGACTGATTACAGATTAAGCGTGCCACATCCAGCTCTCTAGCTCTTCTTTTTGTCTCTTTTCTCATGGTAAATTCGTTCCTTTTCTCCTCTTGGAGAAAGTAGTGGGAAATAGTGAGTCAGGCTGGAGTGCTGAGAGCTGGACAGGACTGTTAATGCAGCTCAGTGAATTAAGATTCGGTTGTGCTGGTTTAACATTTGAATGACTGGGAGGCTTGGGAAGGTGGTGAGCCCTCGATACAAAGAGAATCTTCACAGCTTAAATTCAATTTGGTTCACATCTACTTGTCTAAATATTTGTTTCCTGGTACACAACATGCTGTGCAAAGGTTGACCTTATACTGTAAAGCTATACACAAAAATATGTCATGTATATATAAAATGTTGTGCTAAAACAAAAAACTCCCCATTGTTTAAAAAAATACATGGGCAGTAATCTGCCACCACAGTCTGTACAGATACATCAGTTTACATCTGCCAGTTAATGCTGTTTTTAAAGAACACATCTTTATAGAGTACAACCATACGCAGCTTGTTCACGTTTGTGTGTCACTTGGTCGCACAGCTAGACCAAATCAGATGATCACCTTTTGATGGGCAAACCTCATGCACAGTCCCTATTCAAGCCCCCCTGCCTTTGGAGTCCTTATTATCATTTTGCAACCTGCATTCATCCCTGTTTCCCCCTTTTGATATACTCTCTGACTTTATCAATGCTATTG